GCCAGAAGGGAGCAGGTCAGTCCCCTAGAATCCAGACAAAAGAAGCAGTATGTCAAGAAAAGGGGCCAGAGACTCTGTGCACTAAGTGGGGAAGCCAGACATCTGGCCTCCGTCCATTTTGCTTTCCACTACAACAACCTCCCCTTTCCTTAGAACCTACCTACCCCTGACCGCAATCTGCTGCTGCCTGTCCACTCACATGCATACAGTCCTACCGGGTTCAGCTTGCCAAGGAGGAACCAAGTGCCTGGGTTGGGCCTGGGGCTGAGCTTGGCATTTGCCCCAGACCCTGTGGGTGCCCTGTGGGTGGTGAGGAGGTGTGGCTCCGCCCCTTGTTGACAGGTTCACTTGAGCCCCGCCCTGCTCTGCGGTCAAGGAGGGGTGCTGTCCTGGCTCTTTGCTTCCTGGGACTTGGGTGTCTGTGTGCTGACATCATACCCTGTTGATTCAAGCAAGCCTTTCTCATTCCTAATGGCCTTGTGTGTTACTTTTCTTCCCACCTAGGTCCCCCGTGTCATGAGGACTGCAAAGGGGGGTGCTGGGGTCCTGGACCAGAAGACTGCCAGACATGTGGGTTTACTGCCCTCTAAAAACCTCAAATTCATACACGTTCATATCTCTGCCCACCCCAGCCTGTGTCACCCCTGGGGGTAGGGATGAGCCTGGAGGGCAAGAGGGTGAGCAGTGGCCTCAAGATGCAGTCCTAAGAACCCTGACAGCTGTACTTTCTCTCCTTCCATAGTGACCAAGACTATCTGTGCCCCTCAGTGTAATGGTCATTGCTTTGGGCCCAACCCCAACCAGTGCTGCCATGATGAGTGTGCAGGGGGCTGCTCAGGCCCTCAGGACACTGACTGCTTTGTACGTACTGTTAGCACCATTTGCCTGGGTTCTGAAGTGGGGATGTAGACTGGGGGGGGCGGGTAAGGGTACATAATGCAACGTGAGTTTTATGAATCTGCCCTGTTCCTAGGCCTGCCGACTCTTCAATGACAGCGGAGCCTGTGTGCGCCAGTGTCCACAGCCTCTCGTCTACAACAAGCTGACTTTCCAGCTGGAACCCAATCCTCACACCAAGTACCAGTATGGAGGAGTTTGTGTAGCCAGCTGTCCCCGTAAGTATTTGAAAGGAAGAAACAATGATAACGGAACCAGGATTTTAGACAAAATTTTAGGAGGCAAAAGGGATCAAGTTGGGGCCTTAGAGGGCAAATGGTTGTGATCATCACCCACCCCCAGTGAATGACCCCTATGTCTTATCCCCTCATGAACTTGCCTGTGACTTCCGCAATTGCACCTAGTTCTGCTCCATGGAACAAAGGGCCTTCCTAATCCACAGCACGGCACTTAAGGAAGCCCAGGTGGTGGGTCGGGGGAATCCAGTGCAGAGCAGGAGGGAGCAAGGAAGTTCCACTGGTAGTAGGCAGTTTTCCTCCCTCAATTCCAAGGGTACTCTCCTTTTTCCTAGATAACTTTGTGGTGGATCAAACGTCTTGTGTCAGGGCCTGTCCTCCTGACAAGATGGAAGTGGATAAAAATGGACTCAAGATGTGTGAACCTTGTGGGGGGCTGTGCCCCAAAGGTAAGTAGGAGATGGCAAGGAGTTGGTGAAGAGACATTCTTTACCCTGAAACTACTCAACCCCCTACCTCAACCCCAATTGAGCCTCTTATTTTGTCTGCAGCCTGTGAAGGTACGGGCTCTGGGAGCCGCTTCCAGACTGTGGACTCGAGCAACATCGATGGGTTTGTGAACTGCACCAAGATCCTGGGCAACCTGGACTTTCTCATCACTGGCCTCAATGGGTTAGAGATTCTACCTTCCTTTCTTTAAAAAAACATTTTTTCTTTATTGATTCTAGAGAAAGAGAAAGGGGGAAGGAGAGAGAGATAGAAACATGGATGAGAGAGAACATTGATTGGCTGCCTCCTGCATGCCCCTCACTGGGGATTTGGCCCACAACCCGGGTATGTGCCCTGACCGGGAATCGAACCAGTGACCTCCTGATGCAAGCAAGGGTCGATACTCAACCACTGAGCCACACGGGCAGAGCTACCTTCCTTCCCTGATCCCCCTCTCCATCCCTCCCCTCACAGTTCATTGTATTGGCTCAACCCTTCATGTGTGAAGCTGATTAGGAATCGAAATCATAAAATCTTAGAAATCATAAAGGACCTGACAGTGCTTAACTCAACCTCCCACCAGGGCTGGAGTCTCCTCAGACATGTTCCTAAGCAGTCTGACATCATCTAGCTGAGTGGCAAGGGACAGGAACATTGTGTCCTCCTTCAAGTTTTCTAAAAGTTTTCCCTTAAATTTAGATAAAAATCTGCCAGCTATTTCCTGTAGTGTTCTGTTCCTTAGAATGGAGCCACAAAGAGCAAAGGGACAAATGTATTCTCAGTACATCATTGTCAAGGAGTCATACGCTGTTGATTTGTCCTATCACTGGTGATGATATCTCTGGCCACTTGGTTAAGGTGGTATCTGCCAGGTTTTTCTACTGTAAAGTTACTATATTTCCCTTTGTAATTAATTAGTAAGTACCTTGTGTGGAGATTTTGCCTGAATTAATTTTATAATGAGAGTTGCCAGGTGATTATTTTCTACTTCCATTATTTCTTCTGCATTTATTCCTTGGCATTCTCGTATTAGGAAGAGTCTTCCCTTTCTACCGGTCTATCTATTGATTTATCTGTCTATCTAATCTGTGTGAATGTTTGTTTTACTCAATGGTGTATAATCTTTTACAACCATCATTTTGGTGTGTAGGTGTCTCTGATCTGGCCTTTGGGGGCCCCTTCAAGCTGGTCTCTGTGTTCTTTGAGCTTGAACCCGTCATTATTTGAACACTTGCTTTCTTTTTTCAGCAAGATGCTGTAGGCTCGTATTGTATTTCTCTCACCCCAGCCATTTCTCTAAGGAGCTCTATTTTCTGTTAGTGGAGAACGATATTTAGAAACTAAGTTCTGGCCCTGGCCGGTTTGGCTCACCAGTTAGAGCTTCGGCCCACGGACCGGAGAGTCCTGGTTTCAGTTCCCGCTAAGGGCATGTGCCTCAGTTGCAGTTTGTCCCTGGCCCCGGTTGGGGTCATGTGGGTGGTGGCCACTTGATGTGTCTCTCTCACATCGATGTTTCTCTCTTTCTCTTCACCCCTCACTCCCTCCCACTCCAACTGAGGATAAATGCGAAAAAAAAAAGAAACTAAGTTCTGGCCTGGCCAGTGTGGCTCAGTGGCTGAGCGTCGACCCATATAGCAAGAGGTTGCCGGTTTGATTCCAAGTCAGGGCACATGTCCAGGTTGTGGGCCCGATCCCCAGTGGGGGGCATGCAGGAGACAGCCAGTTGATGTTCTTTCTCATCGATGTTTCTATCTTTCTCCCTTCCTTTCTCTCTAAAATCAATTAAAAAAATTTTTTTTTTAAGAAACTAAGTTCTGAGGCTAAGCTGTTATTGCTACTGGGTTATACCTCTACCTTGTTGACTGTTTTTTACCGTTCTCTTCAGAGACCCCTGGCACAAGATCCCTGCCCTGGATCCTGAGAAGCTCAGTGTCTTCCGGACAGTACAGGAGATCACAGGTGAGTGGGAGGAGAGCTGCCCTTTCTGAGAAGAATAGGTCTAACCACTGGGACAAATTGCAGTATAACCACTTGAGAAAATCATATCTCAAGCAATAAGGGAAGGCCCAAGAGAACCTGAGAAAGAGGAAAAGAAGAAGCCTATCCATTCATATATCTCTCTTCCACCCCTCAGGTTACCTGAACATTCAGTCCTGGCCTCCCCACATGCACAACTTCAGTGTCTTTTCCAACCTGACGACCATTGGGGGCCGAAGCCTCTACAAGTAAGTAAGAGGTGTGGATGTGATAGCATCTCCAGGTAATGAACCTGTTTCTTAGGCATCCTTGAGTGAAATACAAGGAAGGTGTTTTCTCATAAGTAGACCCAAAGTCTGATAGTTATTTTTTCTAAATGTTTTTATTGATTTTTTCTTTTTTGAGAGAGAGAGGGAGAAGGAGAGAGAGATAGAAACATCAATGGACTGCCTCCTGCATGCCCCCCACTGGGGATTGAGCCCTCAACCCAGGCATGTGCCCTGACCAAGAATCAAATCTGCAACCTCTTGGTGCATGGGTTGATGCTCAACCACTTAGCCACCCTGTCTGGGCCTAAAGTCTGAGAGTTTGATGGGAAAAAGGCAACAGGAGGAAGAGTCCCTTTTAGTGTGACTGACTAGCCCAGAGCAAATTGTTGAATGAAAACGAGTCCAATGCATGGTACATTTTCCTTTTGTAGTTTCTCCTCTCATCCTGTCTCCTTGTTCTCAGCCGGGGGTTTTCACTATTGATTATGAAGAATTTGAACATAACATCTCTGGGCTTCCGATCCTTGAAAGAAATTAGTGCTGGGCGTATCTACATAAGTGCCAATCGGCAGCTCTGCTACCACCATTCTCTTAACTGGACCAGGCTGCTTCGAGGGCCTTCTGAAGAGAGACTAGACATCAAGCATAATCGGCCCCGCAGGGACTGTGGTGAGGGAAAGGGCCCACTGGGTGGTCGGAAGAGGGAGTGGGGGAGAAGGATTAAAAACTGTTCTGCCCTGGAAGTGGGAGTAGGGGTGGGGGATAGAGCTGAGGAGAGAGGGATGTTAGGCTGGAAGCAACGATGAGGAAGTATTCAGGAGAGGGCTTGTTAGGAGACCTCAGACTCTTCCTGACCCACCCCTTCCTTTCTAGTGGCAGAGGGCAAAGTATGTGACCCACTGTGCTCCTCTGGGGGATGCTGGGGCCCAGGCCCTGGTCAGTGCCTATCCTGTCGAAACTATAGCCGAGGAGGTGTCTGTGTGACCCACTGCAACTTTCTGAATGGGTATGATGGGGAGAGACAAAGTCAAGAATGGCGGAGGGATGGGACCCTGGGATGGAGCTGTTCAAAGTGACTGCCCCCCACCTTTACTGACCTTTACTCACTGCAGGGAGCCTCGTGAGTTTGCCCATGAAGATGAATGCTTCTCCTGCCACCCAGAATGCCAACCGATGGAGGGCACTGCCACATGCAATGGCTCGGTACAGTAGCAGCACCAGGATGTCTAAGGGAGAGAAGGCGGGGCAACACTGAAGGATCTAAGGAATGATATGGCCAAACCTCAGGGCCAACACAGGGAGGCCAGATAATGCTAGGGTTTGTGGGTGGAGGATCCTGAATGTCTGGATTGGTTCTTACTGGGAGGTATGGAATTGACCTTAAGATCCCATTTGTCCTGACCTTTTTTTTTTCCACTTAGGGCTCTGATGCTTGTGCCCAGTGTGTCCATTTTCGAGATGGGCCCCACTGTGTGAGCAGCTGCCCTTATGGAGTCCTGGGTGCCAAGGGCCCCATATACAAGTTTGCAGATGCTCAGAATGAATGTCGGCCCTGCCATGAGAACTGCACCCAAGGGTCAGTGATGGGACATTAAGAAGAGGGGATCAACCCTGGCCAGTTTGGCTCAGCAGTTAGAGTGTCGTCCTGTGGACCAATGAGTCGCAGGTTCGATTCCAGTCAAGGGCACGTACCTCGGTTGCGGTTCATCCCCGGCTCTGGTCAGGGTCCTGCGGGAGGCAACCAAATTGATGGGTCTCTCTCACTTCGATTTCTCTCTCTCTCTCCCTCTCCCTCTTTCTATCTCCCTCTCTTCCTCCCTCCCACTCTATTTGAAGATAAATGGAAAAATATACTTGGGTGAGGATTGAAAAAAAAAAGGAATCACTCCCAGGCCCAGCTGGTGTGGCACACAGGTTGAGCATCAATCCATGCACTAAGAAATCACTGGTTCGAATCCTGATCAGAGCACATATCCAGATTGTGGGCCCAATCCTCAGTGGGGGGCATGCAGGAGGTAGCCAATCGATGTTCTCTCTCATCATTGTCTCTATTGCTCTCCTTCCTCTCTCTCGAAAACCAATAAAGAAAAATTACTTAAAAAAAAAAAAAAAGCCCCGCCCTGGCCAGTTTGGCTCAGCGGTTAGAGCGTCGGCCTGCGGTACAGAGAGACCCGGGTTCGGTTCCCGCTAAAGGCATGTACTTCGGTTGCAGTTTGTCCCCGGCCCTGGTTGGTCGTGCGGGTGGCAACCACTCGATGTGTCCCTTCACGTCGATGTTTCTCTCTCTTTCTCTTCCTCTCTCTCCCTCCCGCTCAGTCTGAACAAAAAATGCAAAAATGTCCTCGGGTGAGGATAAAAAAAAAAAAAAAAATCCCAGGCCAGTTTGGCTCAGTGGTTAGAGTGTTGGTCCATCGACCAGCCACGGGTTCAATTCCAGTCAAGGACACGTACCTTGGTTATGCTTCATTCCCTGGCCTTGGTCTGGGTTGTGTGGGAGGCAACCAAATTGATGTGTCTCTCTTGCATTGATGTTTCTCTCTCTCTCTCCCCCTCTTCCTCCCTCCAACTCTATCTGAAGATAAATGGAAAAATATCCTCGGGTGAGGATTCAAAAAAAAAAATTCACTTTCCAATTTAAGGAATAAACCAAAAATTAAAAAAGAAAAGAATTGCTCCCAGCTATATAGTGAAGGATTGGAGAAAGGGATACTCAATAACAGCACAACATTATACTATAATTTTGGGAACCTGGTATAACCTCAAGTTGAGCATTTCATTTAATAGAGGGACTAAGGGAGGGTGGGCAAGCTAGAGATGGAGGCCATATCTTGGGATATGCATGGGCTCCAGGATGGGATACTGTGGTAGGGTCCGAAATAATGCTGTAAGTTTTGGAATTGAGCCTCCCATGGGATTCTCCAGCTCCCACTTAAGGAGGTGACTTTCTTCTCTAGGTGTAAGGGACCAGACCTGCAAGACTGTTTAGGCCAAACTCCAGCGCTGATCAGGTATGATGGGCTTGGAGACTTAGGAAGCTGGGGATATTTGGGAGAGAAGCTAGGGAGAGGACAGCTATCTTCTGGGAAGAGTTGCGTCTATTCATTCTGGCTTTTTATATACTGTTCATTATCACTGGACTTGGGGAGACAAGAATCCAGACTTCTGGCCTTTCCTTTTAAAATTAACTTGCAGCCCTGGCCGGTTTGGCTCAGCAGTTGGAACGCTGGCCTGCGGACTAGAGAGTCCCAGGTTCGGTTCCCTCTGGGGGCATGTACCTCAGTTGCAGTTTGTTCCCACCCTGGTTAGGGTCAGGTGGGTGGTGACCACTCGATGTGTCTCTCGCATTGATGTTTCTCTCTCTCTCTTCCCCCCTCCCACTCTATCTGAGGATAAATGCAAAAATGTCCTCGAGTGAGGATAAAAAGTAAAATTAAATTAACTTGCAGTAACCTCAGGAAGTCCAGATTTAGGTTAACCCCTTTAGTGCTCAAGGATATAGGATATGTGAATGTTAACTGCTTGCCCCAGATCCGCACCCTACCTTTTAGTGCAGGTATAGATGACATTTGCAAGGGAGGTGTGGACCCAGGGTAATGCTGGGTTTCTCTATCCCACAGCAAAACACATCTGGCAATGGCTTTAGCAGTGGTTGTAGGATTGGTAGTGATTTTTGTGATCCTGGCCAGCACTATTCTCTATTTGCGTGGGCGGCGGATTCAGAATAAGAGGGCTATGAGGCGCTACTTGGAACGGGGTGAGGTGAGTGTCTAGCTACCCTATACTACCTTATACCATTACTCTTTAAGAGCCTCCTCCTTCCCCAGAGATTTGATCCCTCTTTTCAAAGAGGTAGTTTGATCCACTAGAAATAAATGGGAGACATGCATTCTCCTTCTGATTTTGCCATTAATTTGCTACATGACTCTTGAATAAGTTACTTTCCTTCTGTGCCTCAGTTTATGAATGTATGCAGAGGAAATACTAACATTCATCCTTATAGGATGGCTGTAAGGGGATGGTATATGTGAAAGTGCTTTGAAAACCATACAGAATTGTATAAAAATATTCAAATGGTTGTATTACCAACTCCTTTCCCCCATCAAAGGAAAGACCCAACTCTCTTGATTCCTAATCTCATGATCACAACTTCCTCAGTCCTTGGGGTCTGTTATTCCCCAATATGCCTACAATGCTTTCGAAGACTAAAGACAATTCCTGTTCCTGCTCCCACCCTTGTAGGCTCTGATGCTCTTGATAGCCTCATAGGAGGAGGGAGTTAGAGTGGGTCACTGAAATGGGCTTTCCTGAGTATCTCCTTCCTATCTGCCTCTTAGAGCATAGAGCCTCTGGATCCCAGTGAGAAGGCTAACAAAGTCTTGGCCAGAATCTTCAAGGAGACAGAGCTGAGGAAGCTTAAAGTACTTGGCTCAGGCGTCTTTGGAACTGTGCATAAAGTGAGTGACCCACAGAAAGTAAAAGGACTAGCCTGGGGAGAATTACCTTAGGCTGACTCCTGCTTAAAAATTCCCAGGGAGTGTGGATTCCTGAGGGTGAATCAATAAAGATACCAGTCTGCATTAAAGTCATCGAGGACAAGAGTGGACGGCAAAGTTTTCAAGCTGTAACAGATGTAAGTGAAGGAAGGGTTTTCTGTATGCCACTAGGAAAGAGGTCAATGTTATTACATACAATTGTACAGAAGCATGGTCCTGTGTTAGCAGATACTGTGTGCCATGTTGATGTTCTGGAACGGTCAGGAGGGCCCTGGTCTAGGTACATGTGAACCTGTTTGTTCCTTGGATAACTCTTCTTGTGTCTCTTAGCATATGCTGGCTATTGGCAGCCTAGACCATGCTCACATTGTACGGCTGCTAGGACTGTGCCCAGGGTCATCTTTGCAGCTTGTCACTCAATACTTGCCTCTGGGATCCCTGCTGGATCATGTGAGACAACACCGGGGTGCTCTGGGGCCACAGCTGCTGCTCAACTGGGGAGTACAAATTGCCAAGGTGAGAGGAGCCTGGAGGAATAATATGATGGAACTGCCTGACTGGGGGCCGGCAGGCAGGGGTCAGGGAGGTTGAAGTTCTGAGTGGTACCTTTAGGGTTTGGGGTGATTCTGGATTTCAAGGATTGATTCCCCAACCTTATGAATACTTCCTTCTCCTATAGGGTATGTACTACCTTGAGGAGCATGGTATGGTGCATAGGAACCTAGCTGCCCGAAATGTGCTACTCAAGTCACCCAGTCAGGTTCAGGTGGCAGATTTTGGGGTAGCTGACCTGCTGCCCCCTGATGATAAACAGCTACTACACAGTGAGGCCAAGGTAGGTGACACAAAGGGCTGGTAAGGAGGTGGGGTTGGAGTGAAGCATGGAGATAGGGAGCAGTCAGTGGTCTCTTCCAGAGGGAAGCGGATGCAGCATAAGAAGTTCAAGGAAGGGAGTTTGAAGATGCCAGAAATATAAGTTCAGACAGCAACAAAGAAAAGGATGTAGAGAACTTGAGTTTAGAAATGCTAAGAAATTTGTGAAAATAACTGGTAACACCTTTGTCTTTAATCTCCCAGACTCCAATTAAGTGGATGGCCCTCGAGAGTATCCACTTTGGGAAATACACACACCAGAGTGACGTCTGGAGCTATGGTCAGTCCATCTGAATGCCCACTGTGCCATCACTGGCCCAAATTCCACAGCTATCTTTTGAGAACCCCCCTTCTTAGAATCTTCAAGCCCTTCAGATCATTATGTCAGATTAAGTTCTGTCTTCTCTTCATCTTCATGCCCATTTCTACTGTTTTGCCATCAACTGGTCATGTTTTCCTGTACCAGGTGTGACAGTTTGGGAGTTGATGACCTTCGGAGCAGAGCCCTATGCAGGGCTGCGATTGGCTGAAGTACCAGACCTGCTAGAGAAGGGGGAGCGGTTGGCACAGCCCCAGATCTGTACCATTGATGTCTACATGGTCATGGTCAAGTGTGAGTTACCTGCTGATACCAGCCATTTGCTAACTGAATTTCCTCCCTACTCTACTCTCCTCTTATGGCTCTACTCCCTACATCTTACCCCCAGGTTGGATGATTGATGAGAACATTCGCCCGACCTTTAAAGAACTAGCCAATGAGTTCACCAGGATGGCCCGAGACCCACCACGGTATCTGGTCATAAAGGTGAGTAGGGATTAGGAGGTGTCAAGGAGATTTAGAGCAAAGGGGACTTGGCTGTAACCAGGATCTACCTTAACAATCACTTGCCTCCATAGAGAGAGAGTGGACCTGGAATTCCCCCTGGGGCAGAGCCCCCTGCTCTGACAAACAAGGAACTGGAAGAAGTAGAGCTGGAGCCAGAACTAGACCTAGACCTGGACTTGGAGGCAGAGGAGGATAACCTGGCAACAACACTCAGCTCTGCCCTCAGCTTGCCAGTTGGAACACTTACTCGGCCACGTGGGGTAAGGCCCTTTCCAGTTATCCAAGACTTTCTGCACCCTGAGCACTCTTCCTACCTGCGCCCTCATGAACCCCACATATACTCAGATTAAGAGAACCCATGATGAGATGTCTCCCTTTGTCTAAACCTCTTTCCTTTTTCATCTTAGAGCCAGAGCCTTTTAAATCCATCATCTGGATATATGCCTATGAACCAGAGTAATCTTGGGGAAGCTTGCCAGGTAAGGTCTGTCTCTTTAAGGGGCCGCTGAGACGCAGGGTGGCAGAGTGTGAGTGTTTTAGGATTGATAGGGGTAGTGTAGGAGATTTTAGAAACCTTTGAGATTTAATCAGTGTCCTACAAAAAAAAAAGGCAATAAACAGTCCAGTCTCCTTTCTTCATCTCTATGTAAATCTCCATGTACTCTTTTCTTCCTTAGGAGTCTGCAATTTGTGGTGGTAGTGAACGGTGCTCCCGTCCAATCTCTCTACACCCAATGCCGCGGGGACGCCTGGTATCAGAGTCCTCCGAGGGCCATGTGACAGGCTCTGAGGCTGAGCTCCAGGAGAAGGTGTCAATGTGTAGAAGCCGGAGCCGGAGCCCACGACCACGTGGAGACAGTGCCTACCATTCCCAGCGCCACAGCCTGCTTACTCCTGTCACCCCACTCTCCCCACCAGGGTTAGAGGAAGAGGATGTCAATGGTTACGTCATGCCAGATGCACACCTCAAAGGTACTTGACTCTCCCCCCAACCCACTCCCCACTGCCTATTACCGTGAAGGTCTCCACATAGCTGGCTTCTCTTCTCAACCCCCAGGTACTCCATCCTCACGAGAAGGCACTCTTTCTTCTGTGGGTCTCAGTTCTGTCCTGGGTACTGAAGAAGAAGATGAAGATGAGGAGTATGAATACATGAACCGGAGGAGAAGGCACAGTCCCCCTCGTCCCCCTAGGCCAAGTTCCCTTGAGGAGCTGGGTTACGAGTACATGGATGTGGGATCAGACCTCAGTGCTTCTCTGGGCAGCACACAGAGTTGCCCACTCCACCCTGTGCCCATCATGCCAACTGCTGGCACAACTCCAGACGAGGACTATGAATATATGAATAGGCGACGTGGTGGAGGAGGTCCTGGGGGGGATTATGCAGCCATGGGGGCCTGCCCAGCAGCTGAGCAAGGGTATGAAGAGATGAAAGCTTTCCAGGGTCCTGGACACCATGCTCCTCACGTCCATTATGCCCGTCTTAAAACTCTACGTAGTTTAGAAGCCACTGACTCTGCCTTTGATAACCCGGATTACTGGCATAGCAGGCTTTTCCCCAAAGCTAATGCCCAGAGAACATAACCCCTGCTTCCTGAGGTACTCAGGGAGCATTTGATGGCAGCTAGTGCCTCTAGAGGGTACCCCTCTTCTCCCTAGTCCCTCTCCCTCACATGTCTCAGTCCCATTTCTCCTCAGTTCTAGACAATTCCATTCAACCTTTGGAGGCTTTTAAACTCTGACACAAAGTTATTGTGGTACGCAGCCAGCTGTGCACTTTCTTTTCTTTCCAAATCCCTGGAAAGTAGAAGGTTTTCCCTGCTTTGTGTGTTCTACCAATCTCATTCCTCCGGTTTCTCAAGGGAACTCCCTGAAGATATGAAGGATTATTCCCTTATCATATCCCATATCCATATGATTAGTCCCATATCATGTCCCTTTCTCTTAGTCTCTAACTTGTTGAGACTAGGCTTTCAAGTGTGCCTTTGTTTCCCATCAGACTCCTAAGGCAAAGAAAAAGGACAAAACTTGGCAGAGGAAAGTAAAATTTTGGCTATGACTCTAAACCCCTGGAAAGAATGGGAAACTTAAAATCTTATAAAGAAAGGTTAGGAGTAGATATTATTATTATTTTTATTTTTTGGTACATGCCCCTAGCGGGAACCAAACCCAGGACTCTCTGGTCCGCAGGCCGACGCTCCAACCACTGAGCCAAACTGGCCAGGGCGGGAGTAGATATTAATTGAGCATTTACTTTGGTGCCAGACATCATGCTAAATTTACCTACATTATCTCACTGAATCTTTTTTTTTTTCCTTTATTGATTTTACAGAGAGAGGAAGGGAGAGGGAGAGAGAGAGAGAAACATTGATTGGCCGCCTCCTGCATGCTTCCCACCGGGATCGGGCCCACAACCTGGGCATGTCTCTTGACCGGGAATTGAAGTGGTGATCTCTTGGTGCACAGGTCAACGCTCAACTGCTGAGCCACAGCGGCCGGACTCACTTAATCTTTATGCCAATTCTGTGGACTAGTTTATTTGTAGTTCTTTACAAATAAGGAATTGAGCCTTAGATTAAATTAAGTGATAGGTCCAGGATTCAAAATCTTCTAATATTGTGTGCTCTTACGAGGAAAACAGATACAAACCAGAGTCTTTGTAGGGGCATTGTCTTGTTTTTGCACTGAATTAAGTCTAACCCCAACAACCTCAGCCTCCTACACCCAGACTTCTCATCTCAGGAGGGGGGGTGGTCAGAAGGAAATATAAGCGGACATCTTTATGTAAACCATAATTTACATATCCTGTAAGTGATCTCTACTTCTTACCCAAGGGGCAGATTCACAAGGGTCCCAAGAGCCACTTTTAGAAGCTATTCTCACTCAATAATGGGAAGCTTCTGGTTGGGTTAGGAAAGAGGATCCATCTTCAGATCTCTGTCCCATTGGGTGGGAAATGGGGTGTCTGTTCTATTACTGAAGTTTTTTGTTTTGTTTTTATACGTGTCTGAATAAAAATACCAAAGTTTTTCAGCTTTCTGTCAAATGAAAATCTTTAGTAAGGTAGACCACCCCTTTGCTCTTCAGCAGAACATAGCTACTTGTTTTTTCCTACTTTCTGTTTTCCAACAGTCCTACTCTGTCCCATGTAGCTTTCTCCAGCCCTACTTTTCCTTGCATCCCCTTAGATGCTCTCCCTTCCCAGGAGCATGTCTGTGCCTTTCCCTTCCACCTCTTCTTCCCCCACAGGCATGCATCTCCTAAACTCTAAGGGACTCCATGAGACTTACAACCAGGGAGCAATGGGCAGCAGCAGTTTGTCCTGGACTAACCTCCTCACCCTGTCCCCAAGGCCCCCTTTTTTCTGACTTAGTGAGCCAGAGCCACCCAGCCTAGGCTCATTTCCCCACCTAGTCTCTTTCCTGTTGCTTCTACCCTAGACCCTTCCTTGCTTCACTGTCCCAGCTTTTTTTTTAGAGAGAGAGGGAAGAAGAGGGAGAAATAGAAACATCGATGACAGAGAACATCAATTGGCCGCCTCCTGCATGCTCCCCAGGTTGAGGGCCCTCAACCTGGGCATGTGTCTTGACCAGGAACCAAACTGGTGACCGCTTGGTCCATGGGTTTATGCTCAACCACAGATTCACACTGACCCAGCTGTCCCCAGCTTTAAAAACCATCCTACAGCCCTGGCCGGTTTGGCTCAGCGGTTAGAGCAACGGCCTGTGGTCCAGAGAGACCCGGGTTTGGTTCCTGCTAAGGGTGCATACCTCTGTTGCAGTTTGTCCCTGGCCCTGGTTGATGTGGGGGAGGCAGCCACTCGATGTGTCCCTTTCACGTCAATGTCTCTGTCTCTCTCTCCCTCCCATTCTATCTGAACAAAAAATGGAAAAATGTCCTCGGGTGAGGATAAAAAAACAAAAAAAGTCCTTCAAAAATCAAAGAGAGCCGGGCCAGTGTGGTTCAGTGGTTGGGTGTCAACCCATGCACCAAGAGGCCACTGGTTCATTTCCAGTAAGGACACATGCCCAGGTTGTGGGCCTAATCTCCAATGAGGGGCATGTAGGAGGCAGCCAATCGATCTCGCTCATATTTCTCCTTTCCTCTCTCTAGTATCAATAGAGAAAAAAAAAGTATTAAAAAATAAATAAAAGAGAAGCATAGCACACACTTTTCATTTAAAGGTTTTATTAAAAATCTCTACACGCAATCAACTGGGGATAACAAAAAGTCTGGGGAAGTTAGAAAAAGCCCTATGAATGTGCTCCCTCAATAAGTGAAATACTGAAATTCCCATAAGTTTCAAAACTTACTCTGTAAAGTCTCCTTGAACACTTCGCTTAGGTGCCTTCAAACCCTATGGATAGAACAATAGTGCCATCTTCAGTGGGAGTCCGGCCTGTAGACTGGGAGCCTGCAAATGGATCATCCCTTCGGAGTCCGCCGGCCCAGTGGGTCCCGACTCCTGGGTGGCCTTCCACACCCGTCCTGCCCCTCCCAGCATCAGGACGATTGTACCGGCCGGGCCGGTCCCGCCAGCCGCTCCAGGTATCGGGAAAGGCGCACCCAGACTCCCAGTCCTGAGGGTAGGCACCCCCAATCGCCTGGGCTCCACCCTTCCTCTCCGCCTCCAAACCTAGTTCGCCGCCGTGGCTCCGCCCCTTCCCTCTCAGCCCGCCCCCCTCCATTAAAGCTCCTGGTAGACGCGGATTTTCCGGGAGAGACAGACCACGCTTAAACTCTCCACGGCTCCGCCTTCCCGCCGGAGCCTGCCTCTTCCCAGCGTGCCCGGCGATTCCAGCGTGCGAGGCCCTCGGAGGGCAAGGCCCCAGGGCCTGGCTTGAAGGCGCGAAAGGCAGGCTGGGAGTTATAGTTCACGCGTCCCCGTGGACAGCCGGAGGTTGGCTGTGGAAAGGACTCGTCGTCCCAGCGTGCCCCGCGCTTCAGCCCGCGCGCTCGCAGCTTCTCGCTCTCGCCCGCTCTCCTGCTCGCGCTTTTGCTCGCGCTCTCCTCGCGAATCGAAGGGGTTCTGGCCACAGGCTGTGGCTGGGGAGGGAGACCCAGGCGGCGGCTCAAGGGAACGAGGCTGCAGTGGTGGTGGTGGCGGGAAGATGTCGGGCGAGGACGAGCAGCAGGAGCAAACTATCGCCGAGGACCTGGTCGTGACCAAATATAAGATGGGGGGCGACATCGCTAACCGTGAGTACGGCCTCAGGGGTCCGGGGATCTGGGCTGAGAGAGGCTAGGGGGACAGCACTGGGCTGGCCCCGGAGGGGTTGGAGCGGCGGGGTCAGGCGGAGGGAGCTACTGAGGGCCCCGCGCCGGTCCGCTGGGGGTGGCGGGGTGCGAAGACTCCGTGTCGCGCCTGGGACCTGAGCGTCCAGGCCTGGGTTGCAGTCTGGAGGTGCGGGCCGGCGACGAGGAAGAGCTCAGAGTCGGGTCCCCGGCCGGCGCGGACCCTAGGCCGTTGCTAAGGAGGCAAGGAGCATCTCCTGGTCACCCTCTGCTCCGGATCCCTGCGTCCTTTAATTCCGGCAGCGGCGAAGCCACCTCGGAAAGGAAGCGCCCAGCTGTTGGCAACGGAAAAGCCCCTCATTGTCGCGGCTCCCCCGGCGTCAGGAGCCAAGCCGGCACGTGTTGCCGGGTCCCTGTGCGGGTCGCAGGCAGCCTTCCCCCGCTGCCCGCCCTGACACCAGCTTCCCTACCACGTGCTTTGCCGAAGTCTTTCGTTTTTTACTTTAACTCTTTTCCTCGGGGGAGCTCCCTTTTCTACTCGTGGGCCTGCCCGGGGACCGTTGGAGGGCACCCCTGCACCTCCTCACACCCTCTCGGAAATATACCTGGCTTTTCTTGAAGTTAGTCATTACTACCTTCAATCTGTGCAGATAACCTTAGTTAGCCTTCAGCTTTGTTCTCAGGGGCTTGACAACTCCAGGAGTATTTTTGAGGTCCTCACCCCAGCCAGGCAAACTTGGGAATAGTACTGGAAAAGGAAGGAGACTGATTTTAGGATCTCAGAAGTCATTCTTATTAGTACTGCTCTGACTTTCTCAGCAGCTTCCTGCCACTGTAGGCAGATGGCTCACTGTCTATTCTCTCTATTTACAATTCACCTTTCCGATTTAAACACCCAGTGGAAGGGGACAGAAAGTGCATGTTTTTGGCCTTTTAAATAGTTTTGACAGTATAGATAGGTATTTAGGTTGCTCTGGTCTTACCTCTGTAAACCTGAGTTTCCAACTCCAAAGAATCACCACAATTTAGATCACAAAAGTCAAACCTGAAGTTTAGGGTGGGCCATGGAGATGCTTTATAACATGATGGACATTTAGTATAGTACTCCTATTTTTGTACATGATATTAGTAGTTTGAATCAGAAAAAGAATTTTTTCCCCTCTTGTATTTTATAACTTCTGAGGCACTGTGATCACAGTTACCAGTTTGAAAACTCTTAGGTCCTATACCTCTTTGCAATCTGCCGCGAGCCTGCTGAAGTTCACGGACCTTGGCTTATATACTTGTTTTTGCGGAAATAATTTTACATAAATCGAATTACTAACACCTAATTGGGGTGTCTGAGAAGGCAGAAGGTACCATTTCACAGTGCATCAGCTTTGAGTCAGCAATTCTGTGCCTACTTTCTGTTGTTCCTGACTCCTATAAATTTCTTATAGATTGCATGTATGTGGGATACCTTGTTGAGGATCCCCTTGAAGTTCATAATTCTGTCCTAACACACCACAGGTATCATTGGAAAGTCTCCCTTGCCTAGGGAGACAGACTGTGTATACCCAGCTGTCATATTGTATAAGGAAGGGAAGGGAGTGTTAACGTCTTTATTTTAGGAAAGAGGGTAGAAATTTAGAGATTAAAGGTAGGTACATTCCAAAAGGCAAAACATGTTTCCTCTTTTGGCCTAGGGCAATATCACTAGGGAATATTAGGAACTCTGGATCCAACTTGTAGGTATTGCTTGGATTGTAATTTAGACAACCCATGCAGGACTGACATGGTGGGATTCTATCCCTAGGGGTACTTCGGTCTTTGGTGGAAGCATCCTGCTCAGGTGTGTCGGTACTAAGCCTGTGTGAGAAAGGTGATGCCATGATTATGGAAGAGACAGGGAAAATTTTCAAGAAAGAAAAAGAAATGAAGAAAGGTAAAATATCACTTCCCCCACTAATTTCCCAAGTTTGACCCTTATTTGGTTTGTCAATGATGCAACTCTCACCCACCTCTGGTTGAGAGATAATTGGAAATTTGGAATGGCAAGTGGATTATAAGCAGTTTCCTACCCAATCCAAACTGATTAAACTTAGGCAAGAACCTAAAGAAAATCCTTCCATTTTTTTGAGAGGCATTGGGGCTCTAAGAGAGCAAGGCAGTAAGGCTGATGATTCTTTCTTTACAGGTATTGCCTTTCCCACCAGTATTTCAGTAAATAACTGTGTATGTCACTTCTCCCCTTTGAAGAGCGATCAGGACTATATTCTCAAGGAAGGTGACTTGGTAAAAATGTAAGTTTAAAACATTTTAGAGCACTTGTGTTTTTCCTAACCATTTACATAGTCCCAGTTGCTAATGCCATACTCTGCTCTTGCTTTTCAGTGACCTTGGGGTCCATGTGGATGGCTTCATCGCTAATGTGGCTCACACTTTTGTGGTTGATGTAGCTCAGGTAGGTGGTTTGCTTTGAACTCTGTTCAGCCTATGGGGAATCGGGGAGGGTGTACCCTCTACTTGCTTCTTATCCCCACCCTCTACCACCATGTAACTTTCAAGAGTCTATAGAGAAATAAAAGGAAAGGGGGGTATTTTCTTTCCTGCTCATTGGCTGGCCTTGCATAATGGGCACAAAAATATTAACTAACTAAGCAGCTGAGAGCTTTCCAGGAAGGCACTGATTATATTTCCTTATTTGCAGGGGACCCAAGTAACAGGGAGAAAAGCAGATGTCATTAAGGCAGCTCACCTTTGTGCTGAAGCTGCACTACGCCTGGTCAAACCTGGAAATCAGGTAAGCTCTTCAGTCCAACTCCAAACCTTGATAGAACCAAAGGTGTACTAGGCATCTGCAACTATTCTACACTGAACTGCCAACTTCTCCCACAGCCCTCTTATAAAACAAATAGCTTTTTAAAATTAGCTACCTCACAGGATGTGATTTCTGTAAGAGAAGAGGCAGGAGCTAAAGAACTTAATAATAAACTGCAGACCCTGAATGCCTATATACCCAGTTCCATACTAGTTGTATGGGTATATATGGAGCCTACAGAGATCCTTCCTTTTTCATGTTTTTGATGTACATCTTTCCCCCAAAATAATTTGAGGTAGATAGCTTACCATAAAACACAGATATATTTTACAATAATAGTGCTGGTAAACTGGTGACAAAAGGAGGCCAAAAGTTAGTTCTGTACCTTGCAAGACAATATTGGGAAGCCCAGAGATCATAAACTTCATGAATTAATATAATTTAGCACGTTAGACTATGAGTAGAGATTTTTTTTTTTTTTTTTTTTTTTTTTTTTATCCTCACCAGAGGACATTTTTCCATTTTTTGTTCAGGTAGAGTGGGAGGGAGAGAGAGGAACACAGAGAGAGAGAGAGAAACATCGATGTGAAAGGAACACATCGAGTGGCTGCCACCCACACGACCGACCAGGGCCCGGGACAAACTGCAACCAAGGTACGTGCCCTTAGCGGGAACCGAACCCGGGTCTCTCAGGACCGCAGGCCGACGCTCTAACCGCTGAGCCAAACTGGCCAGGGCGAGTAGAGATATTTTTTGAACACTTAAGTTCCCAGAGATTTGTTCAATACTTAAAGTATTATCTTTTTTCTTGCTCCCTTTCTGAACTCTCTTGTTTTTCATGCTTTTAATCAATTTGTACTTCATCCCTGTTGTTATTTAATTGCATAATTTTTACTTAAACCTTTTTAGTTGTTTACTTTTCTTATAATGATACCTATTTCATAGAGTTGTTATAAACCACTTTGAATACTGCCTGGCACTTGTGTTAACTATTATTATTTTAACTATTGTGTATCTTTACTGGAAGGTAGTGTTGTCTAGCTATGACATCAGACTTTCTGAGTTCTCACCCCCTTGCTACCTCTTACTACTTAAAAATAACTTTGGCCCTGGCTGGTTGCTCAATGTTTAGAGCATCAGCCTGTGGACTTCAAAGTCCTGTGTTCGATTCCCAGTCAAGGGCACTTAAAAAAATAATAATAATAAATAACTTTGAATTCAAATTTCCTCATCTGTAAAATGGGAAAGATAAAATTGTGTCTTATTCTCACAAGACTGTGATGATTGAGATCCATGTAAAGTGATTATCACAGTACCTAGTACATAGTTTAATAATATTAGCTGAGATTAGTTATTCACTTTTCTTTTTTGTCTTAATAACTAATTTAAGTGAGGATCAGATCATGTTTGAAAGAGGTACGAAGGAGCCCTGGCCAGTTGGGCTTAGCAGTTAGAGTGTTAACCCGAGGATCAAAGAATGT